TGCAGCCTCCACGTTCGCCTGAGCTGTTTCTTTGATATAAATATATATGTGTATATGTATATACGTATATATATGTGTGTATACATATATGTATGTTTACACGTTTTACTGGTTTTGCTTCTCTAGAGAACCCAGCCTAATACAGGTGGTAAGAAATCGGTCCATAACATTCCACCCTTTGGCCCCCAAAATTCATGTCCTTTCTGCATACAAAACATTCATCTCATCACATCATCCCAAAGGTCTGAAATCACTAAGTACAAAATCTCATCTTCTGAATCATCTATATTAAATACGGGTGAGACTTCAGGTGTATTCCATCCTGGGGCAGTAGTCCTCTTTATCTGTGAACTGTGAAGTCTAGATTATAAGTTATTTGTTTCCAAAATAAAATGGCGGAACAGGAACAAAGTAGACATTTCCATTACAAAGGGGAGTAATTTGAATGAAAGAAGGGATAACAGGCACCAGGCAAGTCCAAAACCGAAAAGAACAATTTACATTGGATCTCAAGGCTGGAAAATAATCTTTTCTTCTCTGAGACCATCTAGGCCATGGCCCTGCCCTCCAGACTGGATGTTGGCCATGCTCTCTGGATTCTAGATGGATGCTCCTAGGGCCTTAGCTTCATCTCCACCTTCCAGGCCCACTAGCCATTCTGCTTCCTCAGCTTTTTGCCACCCCATTCTTCTATTTCATCTGAGCAGCAGCCCCACACCCTTGGGCCGGCAGGCCCTGTTCTTCTGTCCTTTGGGCATAGCAGCCCCACCCCCTCGGCTTTATGCAGTGGTCTCATCCCCCTATGACTCATGAACAGCAGCTGCACACTCTGGAACCCAGTTGGCGAAGATCCCACCATTTGAAACCGGGAAGATCTTACTTTCCATGCTCCTTCCAACAGTTCTGTTGATTTCCGAGCTGCTCCAGGGATGGTCAGTTTCTTTTCTTGGAGGACAACAAAATAGCTACTTTGACCCGTTTCTTGCCTGTATAATTCCAGGAGGCAGATAGCATTCTTTCCTCCCATTTTTTCGTCTGTATTCTTTAGTCGCAGCCTATGGGTTTTCTGCTGTGGTAGTTGGTTAGATTCATCAGTCACAGGCTTAATCTCTTAAAAAATATATTGTGAAGCCACATCCTTGGTGAACATTCTAGGACACATGTCCTTAGTTTGTACAATGAAATATCCCAGATCTTTAAGTTCTGTTTTCATTTCATACAGTTCATTTTTAATTCCATCTCTTTGGTTTTGCATTTTACTATAAGTACAGCCCCTTTAAGACCTTGCTTAGAAATGTCATCAGCTAAATATCCAAGTTCATCACCTACAAGTGCTATCTACCACCAGACATTTGAACATAATTTAGACAAGTTCTTTGCCATTGCATACAAAGCATTGCCCTTCCTCCATTATCCAATCACAAGTTCATCATTTTCTAAGATGATAGACTTTCTCTGTGGCTCTCCTCACTTCCGTCAGAGCCTTCACTAGAATTGCCTTTGAAGTCCATAATTGTACCAACATTTTCTTCAAGGCAGTCTAGGCTTTTGCTGTTAGGCTCCTTAAAATCTACCAGCCTCTACCCATTATTGTTGTTGTTGTTGGGTGCCATTGAGTCATTTCCTTCTCACAGTGACCGTGTGTACAACAGAACAAAACACTGCCTGGTCCTGCGCCGTCCTCATAATTGGTGCTATGTTTGAGATCATTGTTGCAATCATTGTGTCAGTCCATCTTCTTGAGGGCTTACTCTTGTTCGTTGACCCTCCACTTTACCAAGTATCATGTCCCAATCCAAGGACTGGTCCCTACTGATAACATATCCAAAGTACGTGAGATGAAGTCTCACCATCCTGACTTCTAAAGAGGATTCTGGCTGTACTTCTTGCAAGATAGATTTGTTCAATTTGTTCGTTCAGTCCATGGTATAGTCAGTATTCTTCACCAACACCATAATTCCAAGGCATCAATTAATCTTCCGTCTGGCTTATTCATAGTCCAGCTTTGGCATGCATATGAGGCAATTGAAAATACCATGGCTTAGGTCAGGTGCACATTAGTCCTTAAAGTGATGTTTGCTTCTTAATATTTTAAAGAGGTCTTTTGCAGCAGATTTGCCCAATGCAGTAGGTCGTTTGATTTCTTGACTGCTGCTTCCATGAACATTAATTTTGGATCAAAGTAAAATGAAATCCTTGACAATTTCAGTATTACCTCCGTTTATCAGGACATTGCTTATTGGTCCAGTTGTGAGGATTTTTGTTTTCTTCATGTTGAGGTGTAGTCCATATTGAAGTCTGTAGCCTTTGATTTTCATCAGTAAGTACTTCAAGTCCTCTTTGGTTTCAGCAAGCAAGGTTGTATCATCTGCAAATCACAGGTTGTTAATGAGTCTTCCTCCCATCCTGATGTCAAGTTCTTCTTCATATAGTCCAGCTTCTTTGATTATTTTCTCTGCTTAGATTGAATAAATATGGCAAAAGGATACAATCCTGACATACCTTTCGATTTTAAACCATGCAGTATCCCCTTTTTCTGTTCAAACAACTGCCTCTTGGTCTTAAACCGTGCAGTATCCCCTTTTTCTGTTCAAACGACTGCCCCTTGGTCTGTGTACAGGTTTCTCATGAGCACAATTAAGTGTTCCAGAATTCCCATTCTTCACAATGTTATCCATAATTTGTTATGATCCACACAGTTGAATGCCTTTGCATAGTCAGTAAAACACAGGTAAACATCTTTCTGGTGTTCTCTGCTTTCAGCCGAGATCCATCTGATATCAGCAGTGTTATCCTTCATTCCACATCATCTTCTGAATCCAGCTTGAATTTCTGGCAGTTCCCTGTTGATGTGCTGCTGCAACCACTTTTGAGTTATCGTCAGGGAAATTTTACTTGCATGTGATATTAATGAAATGGTTCGATAATTTCTGCGTTCTGTTGGATCACCTTTCTTTGGAACGGGCACAAGCATGGACCTCTTTGAGTTGGTTGACCAGATTACTGTCTTCCAAACTTCTTGGCATAGACAAGTGCCAAGTGAGCACCTCTAGCACTGCATCCATATGTTGAAACATCTCAGTTGGTATTCTCTTAATTCCTGGAACCTTGTTTTTCACCAGTACCTTCAGTGCAGCTTGCACTTCTTCCTTCAGTAGCATTGGTTTTTGATCATATGCTACCTCCTGAAATTGTTGAATGTTGACCAGTTCTTTTTGGTACAGTGACTCTGTGTATTCTTTCCATCTTTTGTTGCTTCCTTTGTCGTTCAACATTTTGCTCAGAGAATCCTTTTGTATTGCAGCTCGAGGGTTGAATTTTCTCTTCATTTCTTTCAGCTTGAGAAATGCTGAGCATATTCTTCCCTTTTGGTTTTCTAACTGTAGGTCTTTGTACATTTCATTATAATACTTTACTTTGTCTTCTCAAGCCACCCTTTGAAATCTTCTGTTCAGCTTGACGTTCAAAAGTAAGTCTCAGAGTCTCTTCTGACATCCATTTTGGTCTTTTCTTCCTTTCCTGTCTTTTTAATGACCTCTTGATTTTTTCATTCATGATGTCCTTGATGTCATCCCACAACTCGTCTGGTTTTCAGTCATTAATGTTTAGTGCATCCAATCTATTCTTCAGATGGTCTCTAAATTTGGGTGGGATATATTTATGGTTGTGTTTGGGCTCTTGTGGACTTCTTTCATCGTTAGGTGCCATTGAGTCAATTCCAACTCAGAGCAGCCCTGTGTACAACAGAACAAAATGCTGCCCAGTCCTGTGCTATCCTTCCCGTCTTTGCTATGTTTGAGCCTATCGCTGCAGCTACTGTGTCAGTCTATCTCGTTGAGGGTCTCCCTCTTTTTCATTGACCCTCTACTCCACCATGCATTATGTACTCCGTTTAGGGTCTTGGTTTTGTGGGTCTGTCCAATCAATTGGTGTATATTGTTTTTCGACTCTGTTATACCTTCTAGTTTGGTGAGTAGCACCTGGGGTTTTAAAGCTTGCAGGTTGCCATCCAGGATACTAAATTAGTCTCTATTCTCCTGGAACGGAGCCCTTGTGCAGTGGTTAAGCGTTTGGCTGCTAACCAAAAGATCAGCAGTTTGAATCCACCAGCTGCTCCTTTGAAACTTCATGGGGCCGTTCTACTCTGTCCCCTAGGATCTCTATGGGTCAGAATAGACTTGACAGCAGTGGGTTTGGTGGTTGATTTTCTCCTGGAACAGTAGAGGAAGAAGGAGACCAAGGAATCAGAGAAAGAAATGACTACAAGTCTAACTGCCTCAATGAACTGTTACCTCCATTGCCATGAGACCAGGAGAATAAGAGCGTGCCCGGCTACCATTACTGAACATTTTGATCAAGGACCCAATAGATAGATCCTGATCAAGAAGAGGAGAAATGTTGAACAGAATTTCAAATGCTTATAAAAACCTGACAAACTGGACCCACTGAGACTGGGGGAACCCCCAAGTCTATTGCCCTGAGATAATCTTTAAGCCTTGATCTGAAACTATCCTATGAAATCGTGTTTAAGTAACAGTTTAACTTGATTAGTAAAAAATGATTGCCTTGAGCGGTGCGCTCTTTTAAAGAATTATGTATATGAGATCAAATTTACAACAGTAGCTCTAAAACAGAAATTTTTCAGGGGACAGAGAATCTTAGTTAATGGTGGTGAAAAAATAAGGATAGAGATATTGAGAATGGTGATGTAATGCAAAGAATGTAACCATTGTCATTGAATTGTACTTGTCGAAAATGTTGAATGTGTGTATGTTTTTTAGGTATATTTTCAAAAAATAATACAGGCAGAGGTTCTTAATGTGTTTGGGTGCATGGTCAAAAGTTATCATTTTGCTGGTGAAGGATTATAAATGTTCTCTGTTCAAGGTACTCTTCTCTGAGCTGACCTCCAGTGTCTTCCTAGGTATACTTCTTGGACTTGATCATACGCTTTTGTCAGGATACAACTCAAAATCTATGTATCTTTTCCCCACAAACAGGGAATCACCTCTGCAAATCAGATGTGATTTCCCAACTGGAGCAAGGAGAGGAACTGTGGAGAGGAGGAATAGGATTTCTCCAAGACCAGAGTCCAGGTGAGCTTCAGGCACTTGTGTTTCAATACAAGATGGAGCCTGTTACGTGAGTAGGTGCTTGGAAATACCAACTGCATATTTCCTTAAGTGATTAACATGTAGGTAAGGACACTGAGGGAAAATTCTTCAGATTGTGTCATTTATTCCTTGCATATACCTATTTCTATTCAACGTCTTTCTGTCATTGTCTTTGGCTTAAGGAATGAATCTTCATGTACTTATTGTAATTGAACTTTCTCTTAATGGCTTTTGTCCTGGAAAATCTTTGAAGATTTTTCCTCTTTAGCTCCCCAACATCCCGTCTTTGTTTTATTCTCAATTTTGCAATATTGAAAATGTTTTTAAATGTCCATATCCTATCGTGTATTTCTACTACCTAGATTATTCCTTAATTTGATATTCTTTTTACATATAGGTGTCAATATTTGAAACGTACATGGGCCAATACTTTTCAACATTTTAATTCCCCTAATGCCACTCTGACAAATTATTATTTTTTCAATTATTTCAGGCGGGGAAACTGGCCTTAACAAAGAAGAAATGGTATCCTTGCAGCATATCTCCAGGAAGGACACACCAACCATCATGGCATTGGTAAGCTTCACAGGTGTGAATCTTGACCATCCACATAGAGACCTGTGAATGGATTAAGTTAGGAGTTTAGCACAATTACCTTACTGTATTTAAGGTTGTAATTAAGTGCTGTCCTAGCAGAAAGTTTTGGTTCATTGGAATTTAGGGAAGAAATTACCCTGTGCTGAAAACTATAACCTCAGTTCTCATAAAAAGAACAATTGCATAAGCATGTCTCATAGATATAGTTTTGAAATGTAATGAATTCTTTAGAATCAATCTGATAGCCTTGCAATTGGCATGCTGCAAGAGTAAATCTCTGTGCATGCAGAAGAGTAACATACCATGTATATGTAACTTACATGGAAGAGATTTTCACTGGAGTTGTTCACTGAATGACTTCATTATTACAGAATTCATATGTAGAGAAATGAATTAATGAACGAATGTAAATAAACTTTTGTCTTTCATGTCCTTCCCAAAGCAGAGATCTCTCACTGGAGAGGATACCTTTGAATGCAATGATTTGGGAGAAGATTTCACTCACAGCTTTACATTGACTCAACATATGTTAAATCACATGGGAAAGAAACACAATACCAGCAAAGAATTTTTAAGATCCCTTACTGACCAGTCATCCTTCAATCAACATAAGCAAATTCACTCTAGAAGTAAATCATATGAGTGTCATCTATGTGGGAAAGCCTTTATTCAAAGCTCTGGCCTTAAACAGCACATTAGAACTCATACTGGAGAGAAACCATACGAATGTCATATATGTGGAAAAGCCTTCAGTAATTTTTCTGGCCTTACTCAACACTATAGAACTCACACTGGAGAGAAACCATATGAATGCCATGTATGTGGGAAAGCCTTCAGTACAAATTCTAACCTTAGACAACATGGGAGAATTCACACTGGAGAGAAACCATATGTATGTCATCTGTGTGGGAAAGCCTTCACTAATTGTGCTGATCTTATACAACACAATAGAATTCATACTGGAGAGAAACCATATGTATGTCATCTTTGTGGGAAAGCCTTTATTCAAAGTTCTGGCCTTAAACAACACAATAGAACTCACACTGGAGAGAAACCGTATGAATGCCATATATGTGGAAAAGCCTTCAGTAATTTTTCTGACCTTATACAACACAATAGAACTCACACTGGAGAGAAGCCATATGAATGCCATCTCTGTGGGAAAGCATTCAGTAATTGTTCTCACTTTAGACGACATGAGAGAAGTCACACTGGAGAGAAACCATATGAATGTCATATATGTAGGAAAGCTTTTAGTAGAAGTTCTAACCTGAGACTACATGAGAGAATTCACACTGGGGAGAAACCTTATGGATGTCAACTCTGTGGGAAAGCTTTTAGTCAGTGTTCTGACCTTAGAAATCATGAGAAAACTCACACTGGAGAAAAACCATTTGAATGTCATATATGTGGGAAAGCCTTCAGTAGAAGTTCTAACCTGAGACTACATGAGAGAATTCATACTAAAGAGAAGCCACATGTTTGTCAACTATGTGGGAAGGCGTTTAGTCAGTGTTCTGACCTTAGAAATCATGAGAAAACACACACTGGAGAGAAACCGTGTGAATGCCATGTATGTGGGGAAGCCTTCACTTATTGTTCTGACCTTAGACATCATGAGAACGGTCATACTATATATCTAATAAATGTGGAAGAGAGTTCAACTTTAGCTTTAACATTTCAGCACCCAACAGAATCACACATAGAAGGAACACTATGTCTGTAATCAGTGTTCATACTAGAGAGAATCCATATGGATATCTTCTGTGTGGGAAATCCATTAGTCAATGATCTGACCATATATGACATGAGAGAACTCACAGTAGAAATACAGTAAATATGAAAGAGTTTTCAGTCACAGTTCTGTTAAACCAAGGAATGCACGAGTGAGAAAATATGTCTGCGGTCAATATAGAAATGCCCTCATTTACTTATTGAGCCTTTAAACAAAATGAATGAACTTCTCAAGAGATAAACTTGAGGTCTGTAATCACTGTGTGGTATCATTCAATAGTTCACCAGCCTTGGTGTGCACAATAAAACCCAATGTGAGAATAACCACTTGTTATAGATTGAATTGTGGCCCCCAAAAGATATGTTGAACCCCTAAACCCTGGACCTGTGAATGTGATTTAGTTTGGAAATAAGTTTTTTCTTTTGTTATCAGTTAATGAGGTTATGTTGGAGTAGGGTGGGTCCTAATCTCTTCTGAGTAGTGTCTTATAAAAGAAGAGGACAGACAAAGACACGGGGAAGACAGATGCCATGTGACCATACAACTACAAGCTTAGAAACACCTGGGGCTGCCAGAAGCTGGAGGAGACAAGAAAAGATCTTCCCTTACAGCAGAGTGTGAACATGTCCTGCTGAAGCCCTGAATTTGGACTTCTAGCTTCTAGAACTGTTTGAGAAAATTAATTTCTATTCTTTAAAGCTATCCTCTTTGTGGTATCTTGTTATAGCAGCACTAGGAAACTAAGACACCACTGAAACAGGAAGTAAGAGAGAGAAGTCTTTACTAGGACAGCCTTTTGAGTAATACCAGATAAAGCCTATGGAGAAGTTATTGAATGAAATATCATGAAGTCATTTATTCATAGAGCAACATTTTAGAACACGTGTGCATTCACACTATAAAACACTCAGTGTCTTGACTGAAGGAAAGGCTTCAATAATCACTCATTTCTTAGCATTAATGTTCTCCAGTGAGGAGAAAAAAGTCTGAAAGTCAAGGTAGAAAACAACAAAACTTCACCTATATTTCATATCAGAAAACCAAGACTGGAATAAAGCAAAAACAACTTTAAAAGAACCCTTGAGAACAGATTTAGCAGAGGATTCAGAATTTTGACAGAAGATCTCTTATTGAAAAAATTTGGGACTGTGATGTGATCTGGGAATACCAAATGCAGGATTTCCTAAGAAGTTATAGGAAATGATATTAAACTTAATAGATTAGTACTTGCATATATGTAAACGGTAAATGTTGCTGAAAAATCTAATATATTGATCATTTTCTATTTTTTAATACAATACCAAACACATAGATTTGGATCAATCAGAAAATAATTTTGAATATAAACTGAAACATTTACAGCATGAAATTGTTACTTAACTATTAGAGTTATGTATGTACATGTTAAGGATGAAAGTAAACATGGATAAACACCCTTTATAAGCAAAGTCTGATGGTACTTTTTTTTTTAATTCCATATAATAATGTCTTCAAAGTTTAAAAAGGAATTACAAGTGAAACTATTTAATTTGGTTTTTGTTTTTTTTTTTTTAATCCTGGATGATTGTGGGTACATTGGCTAGAAAATTCCTCAGGATGAAGACATGGAAGAACAGTAAGATGTAGGCAATGTCCTATTTGCAGAATGCCTTACATATTTATACTAATTTATGTAACCATAAAACATTGCCTCTCAGCATCATACAGAACACTGCTTGTCAAAACAGAGAAGAATGAACTGCTAAGAATTTGACCTTGTTCATATTTCCCAAAAAAATCAGTAATGAATTCCCAAATCACCAACCTGGACTGACTCCCAACCCTTTTTATACACATACAGAAGCCTAGGAGAGAAAATAGTGGAGCTCACAACTCTGCCACGATTTCAAGAGAAGGCTCGTTCCTTGCTACTTTTTTGGATGTGATTAATATCCCTGTTTCACACATGGGAAAATAGAATCTAAATGATTATAATTAATTTAGCCCATTTTTCTGAGATGATGCAATGCCCACCTCTATCCTCAACTTTTTTTTGGTGCTTTTATTTGAATATTTTATATTGATGTATCTTTAAGTTCATTAATCTTGCCTTCTGTGTGTAATGTTTGTTAAGCTTATATCTGTTAAGTTCATCCATGACTACAGTTTGCCAAACCCTGTGCAGTTGCATTTCTTCATCTATTCATGTTTCTTATAATTTCCTCTATTTTATGTAAAATAATAATATTTATTCTAAATTCCTTTTTTTCTAACTCAAACCTCAAGATATATGTGGGTCTGTTGTATTTCTCTTTTTTATTCATCACATTCCTTGCTGTTTTGCATAGATCCTATTTTTTATTGTATGATAAACAGAAATTGTCTAACAAACAGGAAGAGACTGAAGTTGATGTTTTCCCCCAGCGAGGTTGGATATTCCTTCTGTAGGAAGGTAGAGGGAGGAGTCATCACTATGTTTCAATCAGACAAAGGCAGATCTATGAAAATAGTGCCTATTGCAAGCACTGAAATCATGCCCTGTCCAACCATCAGACACCCATCTTTTAGATAACTTTACCATAATATGACTGCAAATACAAGTCAAGCTCAATCTTTTACTTAACACGTTATGATGGTACATGAAAATTGCAACTGCACCTTGCTTTCCCTGATGAAAATTGGTCTAAGGTGTTCTCCAAGTCATTTTTTTTTTTAAATTCTCTTTCTACAGCAGAGCAGGATCACACAGTCTGCCTTGACCCATTGTGGTTAGGTGCTGTGGAGTCAGTTCTGACTCATAGCAACCCTGTGTGCAACAGAACGAAACACTGCCCGGTTCTGCACCAACCTCACAATCGTTATGCTTGAGCCCATTGTTGCAGCCACTGTGGAAGTCCATCTTGTTGAGGGTCTTCCTGTTTATCTCTGACCCTCTACCAAGCATGGTGTCCTTCTCCAGGGACTGGTCCCTCCTAATAACATGTCCAAAGTACGTGAGATGAAGTCTCGCCATCCTCGCTTCTAAGGAGCATTCTGGCTGTACTTTCAAGACAGATTTGTTCGTTCTTCTGGTAGTCTATGGTATATTCAATATTTGCCAACACTATACTTCAAAGGCATCCATTCTTCTTCTGTCCTCTTTATTCATTGTCCAGCTTTCACATGCATATGAGGCGATTGAAAACACCATGGCTTGGGTCAGGTGTACTTTAGTCCTTAAAGTGACATCTTTGCTTTATAACACTTTAAAGAGGCCTTTTGCAGCAGAGTTGCCCAATACAATGCGCCATTTGATTTCTTGACAGCTGCTTTCATGGGTGTTGATTGTAGAGCCAAGTAAAATGAAATCCTTCAGAACTTAAATATTTTCTCCATTTATCAGAATGTTGCTTATTGGTCTAGTGAGGATTTTTGTTTTCTTTATATTGAGGTGTAATTTATACTGAAGGCTGTGGTCTTTGATCTTCATCAGTGAGTACTTCAAGTTCTCTTTACTTTCAGCAAGCAAGGTTGTGTCATCTGCATAACACAGGTTAACGAGTCTTCCTCCAGTCCTGATGTCATGTTCTTCATATAGTCCAGCTTCTCTGCTTATTTGCTCAGCCTACAGATTGAAAAATTATAGTGAAAGGATACAACCCTTATGCATACCTTTCTTGCCTTTAAACGATGCAGTATCCCCTTGTTCTGTTCGAACGACTGCCTCTTGGTCTAAGTACAGGTTCCTCATGGCACAAATAAGTGTTCTGGAATTCCAGTTCTTCACAATGTTATCCATAATTTGTTATGATCCACACAGTCAAATGTGTTTCTATAGTCAATAAAACACAGGTAAACATCTTTCTGGTATTCTCTACATTCAGCCAGGATCCATCTGACATTAGCAATGATATACCTTGTTCTACATCTTCTTCTGAATCTGGCTTGAATTTCTGGCAGTTCCCTGTTGGTGTACTGCTGCAACCACTTTTGAGTGATCTTCAGCAAGATCTTACTTGTGTGTGGTATTAATAATATTGTTCAATAATTTTCACATTCTATTGGATCACCTTTCTTTGGAATGGGTACAAATATGGATGTCTTCCAGTAGGTTGGCCAGGTTGCAGTCTTCCAAATTTCTTGGTATAGACGAGTGAGCAGCTCCAGCGTTGCATCCATATGTTGAAACATCTCAATATTCTGTCAATTCCTGGAGACTTGTTTTTCACCAATGCTTTCAGTTTGGCTTGGACTTCTTCCTTCAGTTCCATCGGTTCTTGATCATATGCTACCTCCTGGAATGACTGAACGTCAATAAACTCTTTTTGGTACAGTAACTCTGTATTCTTCCATCTGCTTTTGATACTTCCTGCGTTGTTTAATATTTTTCCTGCGGAATACTTCAGTATTGCAACCCGAGGCTTGAAGTTTTTCTTCAGTTCTTTCAGCTTGAGAAATGCTGAGCGTGTTCTTCCCTTTTGGTTTTCTAACTCCAGGTCTCTGCACAGTTCATTATAATACTTTGTCTTCTCGAGCCACCCTTTGAAATCTGTTCAGCTCTTTTACGTCATCATGTCTTCCCTTTGTGTTAGGTATTCTACATTCAAGAGCAAGTTTCAAAGTCTTTTCTGACATCCATTTTGGTCTTTTCTTGTCTTTTTAATGACCTCTTTCTTCATTTATGATGTACTTGATGTCATCCCACAGCTCGTCTGGTCTTTGGTCATTAGTGTTCAATGTGTCAAATCTGTTCTTGAGATGGGCTCTACATTTGGGTGGGATATACTCAAGATTGTACTTTGGCTCTCGTGGACTTATTCTAATTTTCTTCAACTTGAACTTGCATATGAGCAATTGATCTTGTTCTGCAGTTGGCTCCTGGTCTTGTTCTGACTGATACTAAGCCTTCCCTTCATCTCTTTCTGCAGAAAAGTCAATTTGATTCCTGTATATTCAATCTGGTGAGGTCCACGTGTATAGTCGCCATTCATGTTGTTGAAAAAACGTTTACAATGAAGAAGTCATTGGTCTTGCAAAATTCTATCATGTGACCTCAGCGTAGTTTCTGTCACCAAGGCCCTATTTTCAACTACCAGTCCTTTTTGTTTCCAACTGTCACATTCCAACCACCAATAATTATCAGTGCATCTTGGTTGCATGTTTGATCCATTTTCAACTACAGAAGTTGGTAAAAATCTTCAATTTTTTCATCTCTGTCCTTAGTTGTTGGTGCATAAATTTGAACAATAGTCATATTAACTAGTCTTCCTTGTAGGTCTGTGGATGTTATCATTGACAGCGTTATACTTCAGGATCGATCTTGAAATGTTCTTTTTGACGATGAACATGATGCCATTCCTGTTCAAGTTGTCATTCTCAGCATAGTAGACCATGTGATTGTCTGATTCAGGATGGCCAATACCAGTCCATTTCAGCTCACTAATACCTAGGATACTGATGTTTATGCGTTCCATTCATTTTTGACGATTTCCAGTTTTCATAGATTCATACTTCATACATTCCATGTCCCAATTATTAATGGATGTTTGCAGCTGTTTCTTCTCATTTTGATTCATGCCACATCAGTAGCTGAAGGTACCAAAAGTTTGACTCCATCCACGTCATTCAGGTCGACTCTACTTTGAGGAGGCAGCTCTTCCCCAGTCGTATTTGGAGTGACTTCCAACTTAATGGGCTCATCTTCTGGCACTATATCAGTCAGTGCTCTGCTGCTATTCATAAGGTTTTCACTGGCCAGTTTTTTCAGAAGTAGACTGCCAGGTCCTTCTCCCTAGTCTGTCTTAGTCTAGGAGCTCAGCTGAATCCTGCTAGGGTGACCCTGCTAGTATTTGAAATACCAGTGGCAAAGCTTCCAGTATCACAGCAACACACAAGCCACCACAGCACAACAAACTGACAGACACGTGGTGAACTTGACACACGGAGGCTCTTAAATCTGAAAGTACAGTCATGTGCCGCATAAAGTCCACTCACGCAACTTCTGACTTCATATACATCCCTGGTCTAGTGCACGATCTCCAGGGGATGCCCATAGCCTGCCCTACCCCTCCCTACCCACAGGAAGAGGTGCTCCTGCTGCTGGGAGGAGTGGGCACCCAATCCTCCTGAGCACCCAAGGTTAGCAGGCATGGGGGTGCCGGGTTGCCAAGACCTCTCCACTACTGCCCTGGCCTACTCTCAGAACATCCCCGTCATGACCTTTATGGGGCTGTGGGGCCGTGCACTGGGTGGGAACCGGCCAAGCGCTTATCTGAGGTATCCACAGTGGGAGCTGTCTAGGCTGCACACAGCAGCCCACAGGCCCTTGCACCAGTGAGCCCCATACCCCATGAACCCAAGCGTTCACACAATGTCCAAATCGCATAACATCCTATTTCACAGAACGTGTTGTGGACGTTAAGCGATGTATGACTATTGGTTTTAACTTGCTGAATGATCTCTTAAAGCTGGTGTTGGGCCTTATTTGGTTAATAGAAACTGCTCAGTGGCAACCACACTACGAACACACACAAGCACACCCACACTTTTCAAGTGGTGCCCAAGGCACTTGCCATATCTGCCATACCTCAGATATGCCTCTGCCATCAGGATTTGAACTACACTCTGGATTGCAGCTGTATTTGATTACAGTCCGTCTAACGCCCATGCCTTTAAAATCAGTCTTAATTTCAGGCACCTTTCTGGTGGAAACTATCTCCAAAGAACCATGGGACTGCAAGAGATATTACACGCTTTTCTTTCCCAGCTTTCAGCTAAATGGGGGGGGAAAAGCAGCCTTGTGTTTAGAGATTCTCTAGATTTCAAGTCTCCCCTCCTCCTCCCCGCACGCACGCAGTTCACTTACTTGTCAATATGCTTACTTTTATTCCCTATTAGTGTCTTTCTTCCTATGATTTTCAGTATCCAGACTAATCAAATTGCCCCAGGTGTGGAAATACGACCTTACCTCTGCTAACCAGGGCTCTTCCCTTTTGGAAGTCTTAATCTATCTAGTCCTCTCTGCTTAGACAACTCTGTACTAGTTAAAGCATAGTGGTTTCTGTTGTTGCTTGTTTTGTTTCTGGTATGGAATGATTTTTCAATTGATTGCATTTTTACAAAGAAATACTAAGAATATTTTGACAATATTCTTTATTTTTCCCCCTATTCTTTGTTTTAATGAACTCTTTTAGACCTACGGGAGAATTTAAGAGTAGTTTAATGGGAAGAATCTTCTTGTATTTACATTTGAATTATTTTCTTTCAGATAAAGGAAATTTTTAAATTGTGGGAAAATATATAATGAAACATTTGCCATTTCAACCCCTTTTACATGTACAATTCAGTGACATTATTTATGTTCGCCATGTTATGTAACCATCACCACTATCCCTCCAATTTTTTTCATCACACTTAAGATGGTGCAGATGGTTAGCACACTGCTACTAATTGTAAGGTTGGAGGTTCGAGTCCACCCAGAGGTTCCTTGGAAGAAAGGCCTGACCATCTACTTCTGAAAAGTCAGCCATTGATAATCCTATGGAGTACAGTTCTAATCTGACACACATGGGATCACCGTGAGTCAGAACAGACTCAAAGGCAACTGGTAACAAACTTGATACCCCTTAAACAATAACTTCCATTTTCGTCCTCCTACCCGCCCCAGGTAACCACTAATAAACTTTTGTCTCTATGCATTTTCCTATTCTAGATAGTCATGTGTCACTTAATGTCCACGACACATTCTGTGAAATAGGACATTATGAGTAATTTGGATATTGTGTGAACACCATATTATAAACAAGCAGTCCCTGGGTTATGAACATCTAACTTACGTACACCCCATAGTCACGAACCAACCCCTGT